CATAAATCAGAAGCAACTGATTTGGTAAACAACTGCTGCAGTACATCAACAAAAAACAACAACAATATTTTGTCTCAACAATTAATATGGATCACCGATGCACAGTCAGCACCACAACAACCGTATGTCTCCTATGATTTATGATCACAACCGCATATGTCGGTTTAATATCGTCCCGTTCGAGGCAATGTGTTCCAATCAGGCACTCTCGTTCGACCTTGGCAAACAATTCTCGGCTACTATTCACAATTGCCAGATCTGAGGGACAAGTTTCGTTCGCCCTCAACCCTTGCCAATGAGGGTTCCCAGGTAACGGCTCTGTGAGATTTCGAACTCTGTGAATTTTTTCGGTGAGCTCTAATACATCCTCATCTCTTCGGTGGTTTCTCCTCTACACCACTGAGCAGCGCATCATCTCTTGGCGGAGAAAGAACTTTCGACTCTGCCAGATTCAAGTCCAGCGCGGCGTAAAATTTTTCCTATTAACTGTTATCGCTGTTGAGCAAGGAATTCACACCACTATGCTTCGTTGCGGCCCGCTGAGATCAGAAACGGACAGACACAGAGGAAGCATGGCGTTCTGACATGGTCATACAATAACGTATCGGGTGCATAGCCATGCTGTCAGATGCGTTTGCCGAAAACTGCGGTTTACTTTCATCAACCCGATGGCCGATTGAAATTTAGCGTAAGGTGTAAACCACAATAAAGAATACATTTAATAAGTGTCTCCGCTGGCATCTTGACGAGATCATAAGCGGTCGACGGGGGGAACAGATCAACGGGTTGGGAGATGTGCAATCTTGGATTTGATGCTTTTAGAAACCGTTATGTCTTTCATTACTTTTAAAAAATGTTGGCTGTTGTCTGTGTTAGGTATGTTGGCTGCTAGAAAAAATCCAGAGCAGCTTTTGTTATCTGAGTGATGAGCGTTAAGGCACCTGTTTGAACCCATATCGAAGGCGATTTTGAGTTCCCCTATGATTTGTCAACTTTTCCTGGTAGAGGAGACAAGAGAAGACGGGACAGGAATGGATTTAATCGTTTTTGTAATCGTCTGCATCAGTGAGTATAGTAGGATGACTACCTTTTCAGTGGAGACATTCCTTGACAAAAGTAAGGAAAATATTCTTCCTCCAAGACAGTAAATGCAAAGTCTGAGATCCAGACACAATCACGCTGCTTTTTACATCTCAGATGATACCAGGCAGCATTGCAAGACACAAATCCGCAATTTGCCTTTCTACGCATCTTACACTATTGGGCTTTGATCAAACAGGTCTTCAAGTCACCGCCTGCATATACAACCACAACATGATCATATACTCACCTGCCATCCAATTAGCCACGTCCTCAGAACTCCAAGCCTCAATTTTCTCCACCAAAACGGGTAACGAGTCATGCATGGCGGAAATTCACACGGACGCCTAGAAAAACCTAAACACACTGTCATCGATCAGAAGTGTAGAATGAAACGAGCCAGAACTGCAAAATTACCATCAGTACTGGTCGATCATAAAACAATAACAACAAAACAAGTCACAACGAAATACTTCAAAGTTGCAAGATAGAAATTGTATAGTGAAGAGAAACTATCGCTGTCCCTCGTACCGCTCTCCAATGAGAACTGCCTATCGGAGAAGCGCCTCATGGTCGCCAGGCTTGCATTTACAGCTGCTCCAACATCGTCCACTGTATGTATCAAACACTTTAAGTTCGGTATCTCAATATTATAAAAGCCACAGACGCAACTCAAATCACATGCTATTAATTCGTCAATATCCACATGCCATCGTTCACTGAAAAGGATGACACCGGAATAACTGTTTGGTGATCAGCTACAAAAACGTTCCAAAAATCTCAAACCTCAAAATACTCGTAGCAAAACCGTCACAAAAAAGTTTTTTTGCAATTTTGTTTAAGCAATAAACTTTCAAACTTCGTTTTTACGTTGTGGAACTGATATTATTAGGCAGCAAGGAAGATAGAAGATTTCTACCGACTGATCGACGGCCGAAATGTCCTTCTGCATGGTAAGCCAGTTGGATCTGCCGCAGAGGGTCTTGTCCAGTAGGATGAGACGAATAGGCCTGGCAACTGTAAGTGAACCCTACCGAGACCTGGAGCTCACGAAGCATCTCCCTTCTCAATTTCGATTTGCAGGTTGAATGATGTAGAGGTTAAAGGCTATAGCTTACGAAGGTAGGCACCGTGAATGAAGAGCATACGAAACTCACCAAAAAATACGTAACGCATGAAAAAATACCTGGAACCGCAAATGCAGGCTAGGACGCCAGCTTGCGAGTAACTAGGATTACCTGCAAGCCGATGATGGCTTAGGAAACGACCGGCAAACGACAAAAAGACGTCATCAAGACTTCGTGGCTACCCTCAACACCAGAACTCTGTCGACTGTACATCAGAGAGACAAAGAAGATCAAAGAAGATATTCTTAACGTGTGCGAAAACCAGAAATCCGCAAAAGTTATGGAGCAGTGGGACAGCGATGATCAAATATTCCGCGAGTAAGTATACGAAAACTGGGCTCGGACAGGTGGTGTTGGATTTTTTTGTAAAGAGAGCTGTTCCTATCATAGTCACTTACGTTCTAAATACAACGAAGACATATTTCCATTGCGGTTTCTTCGGGATTAATACATAGGTGACCTCAGTCCTTCTATCCAGGATAGTAATTTGAGCCGATCTATGACGTTGTGGCGCAGGTCTGCGGCGGCTAGTCTGAATCTACATAATGTGCATATGTTTAACTACATCAACTGCCGCGTTTCATGTGCTGGAGAAGGGAGCTGGCAGCTGCGCAACAGGTAAGTGGTTTGACTGCACTTCAGGGGTGCCAGATCTAACCTCACACGCGGCGAAAATTGTCTCATATTCACTGCTAATTCCCTTGAGAAAGGAATTCCCACCCAAATGCATCGGAAGAAACAGCCGAAAAGCGGGTAGCGGCTTCTGCGATTAAGAGAGGCAACATTGCTTTCTGGCGTGGCTATAACGCAACGCGTCAGGGCTCAGCCAAGACGTCTGATGCGTGTGCCTTTCGCCCGCAATTTCCTTCACCTACCTGATAGCTAACCACATATCAGTACAAGGAGTACACGTCAATTTTAGAAAAAAAACTATGAATGTTATGATTCCCCAAAAAATACTGGATATTGCTTTTACAAATCATAAACTAGTATAATTAGAATAAATAAATAAAACTATGAAAAAAGCAACAATCAGATGATCTACTGGACAATTTACATGTCAAAAATAGGTTGAAGTACGTGTAGCGTTCAAATCATTGCATGAATACCTGGATCATAAACTAAAATTTATAAATGCCTTCCAAAAGTTTGCCACGTTAAGAATGGCACCATCAACACTGA